TGGAACTCCCTCCCATAGGAGGCCAAGCTGGCCCCATCTTGGCTGTTCTTCTGCAAGGAAGCAAAGCCTTTTTCTCCTCAGATAGACTTTTCCTTCTTGACTGGCAATAAATAGAATAAGTAAGTAAAGGCCCAAGCAGTTTACTCCCTTTGGCCAGGTGCTCATTGTGTGATCAGTTGCACAGCTGGTCCTGCAGCTGATTTTTCAATAAGTGCAAGAATGATTGTACAGCACAAACTCTTATCACAGTGGAGAAACTGCTTGTGTGATGACCTTTCTGCATAGAAAAATTCTGTCTTCCTATCTGTTGTGAAGTTGTTGTTCCCTAAGTTTGTAATATAATAGGATCCTGACCTTTGTGTTTAGTGATTTTTATTCTGCTTCCAAGTGATGAGCTTTCTTGACATTGGGGAACATCAAGAAGCAGGAAGAGGAGGAAAGTATTTGCATGGCTGTGTGCTCTGAGGTTTATGAGGAAATGGTTTAAAAATAAAAAGTGAGAATGTTATATATGTTTATGGTTAGTCTGCATGTTCCACATTTAGAATGATGTGTGCAGTTGTGTTTGCCTTACCTAAAATAAATGCATGAACAGTTTAAGAAAGTATAGAAAGAAGAGCAGTTAGAATAAAGTAGGGCACATTATGTGGACACATTTATGCAGACGGAAGGGATTTTTCCTAATAGAACAGTGATTTGATTTTGGAGTCTTATTTATTTTATTTATTTATTGGATTTTTATCCCACCTATCTAGACCAAAGGTCTACTCTGGGCGGCTTACAAATTTAAAAACAATAAAACCAAAAACATATAGGTCCAAGATGGCAAAAGTATAAGAAAATAAGATATGGCACGAGGGAAAGCCTACCCAAATCACCAGGTTTTAAGTTTGTTCCTGAAAACACCCAGAGAGGGAGCCAGGCGGATCTCCACTGGCAAGTTGTTCCAAAGGAGAGGGGCCACTGCTGAGAAGGACCGGTTCCTCATTCTTTCCTTCTGGACCTCCCTCGGCATTGGGCCCCTCAGCCGCCTGGCTTGGCTGGAATGAGTGACTCTGGCAGAACTGGGTGGGAGAAGGTGCTCTGCCAGATATGGAGGTCCTAAACCATTTAGGGCTTTATATGTAATTGTAAGAATTTTGAAATCGACGTGGAAACGAATGGGCAGCCAATGCAAGGCGGCCAGTGTGGGGAAATATGTTGGTACCTTTTCAATCCTGTAAGACGTCTGGCCACCGCATTTTGTACCATCTGAAGTTTCCGTATCAGTCTCAAAGGCAGCCCCATGTAGAGTGCATTACAGTAATCTAATCTTGAGACTACGAGTGCATGGACCAAATTGGTGAGCGCCCCCACATCAAGACAGGGACGCAGCTGGGAAATCTGCTGAAGGTGGAAATGTGCAGAACGGACCACTGACGACACCTGGGTCTCCATGGTGAGCACTGGGTACAGGTGTATACCCAAACTGGGAACCTCACTCTTGGTGGTAAGAGTCACACACCCGCAAAGGAAAGGGAGTTTCCCAGACCACTGATGTCTGGGACACCCACCCGAAGGAGCTCTCTCTTGCCCAAATTCAGACTCAGTCCATTCACCTGCATCCATTGCTGAATAGCCCCTAGGCAGCGTTCAAGAGATGAAACAGCATCCACTGTTGTTGGAAAAAAGGAGATGTAGAACTGAATATCATCAGTGTACTGATGACACAAAGCCCCACATACCCCGATGACCCCTCCCAGTGGCCTCATATAGACATTAAACAGTATTGGAGAGATAATCGAGCCCTGCAGAACCCCACAATTGAGGCTCCACAGGGCCGAGAAACTCTCTGCAATCTACACTCTCTGGGGTTGGTCCTCCATGGAGCTAGGCAAGAGACAGGCCACCAATTACCAACTTGGAGAGCCTCCCCAGGAGAATACCATGGTCAACAGTATCAAAGGTGGCTGAGATATCAAGGAGGACCAGCAGAGACATTTTGCCCCTGACGGACTCTTTCATTAGGTCATCAAACAGGGTGACCGATGCTGTTTCCATGCCGTGGCATGGCCTGAAGCCCGAATGGAATGGATCCAGGGCATTGGTTTCATCCAGAAGAGCCTGCAGTTGATCGGCCACCACCTCTCAGCTACCTTGCTGAGGAAAGAAACATTGGCAACGGGCCTATAATTATCAATATCGTCTGCTGCCAAGCTCAGTTTCTTCCTAATGGGCCTAATGAGTGTCTCCTTGATCTCCTGGAGAGACCCATTAATTATTGCTGTAACCCTTTCAGATGTTATAGGCCTGGCTGCTTTGATTAGCCAGGCCGGGCAAGGGTCAAGGCAGGAGGTGGTGTCATGACAGCAGTCAAGCACTCTGTCCACCATGTCTGATGTCACAGGCTGAAAGTGGTTAAGTCTCATCGGGCAAGACAGAGCGCTGGACGTCTCTGCTCAATCCACTGTTTTCAAATAGGGATAAGATCCCAGCAGATGGCCTCCACTTTTGATTTTAAAAAAGGCTGCAAATTGGTCAGATGAGATGCTAATGGGAGGCCAGTCACTATGACCAACTCTGGATAGATCGCAGACGATACGGGAAAGTTCTGCCTGCTGATTGTGGGCTTCGCTTATCTGGACAGCGAAGTAAGATTGACTAGCAGCTTTCACCTCAGATTGGTAGTCGCGATCCTGACAGCTATTTGATTATTTCCCATTGGGTTCCACCTCCGTATGCGCTCTAGCCTTCTCCTATTTCACTTCATTTATCATAGTTCTGGATTAAACCAGGGTCAAGGGCGATCTCTGTGCCGGATAGGGTGTTTAGGTGTGATTGTGTCAACAGCCCTGATGGCAATGGCCAGCCAGCTATCAACCATAGCCTCGACAGCAGCGCCAGTCAAATCAGCCGGAATCCCTCTCATGGGGTCCTGGAATCCTATGGGATCCAATAATCTTTGGGGGTGAACCATTAAAACAGGCCCTTGCTCACTGCAGGGAGAGAGAGACACTTCAAGATTGCATTTAATTAGGCAACGATCCGACCATGACAAGGGGACAGACACTAGGTCAGTCACCATCGGAGCACACTCACTCTGCTCAGTGGAGAACACCATGTCCAGTGTGTGGCCACCCACATGGGTAGGGCCTTTGACATGTTTGGATATGTCCAAGGAGGCCATGGTCTCCAAGAACTCCAAGACCTGGACCGGAAACCTCTGCATCCACATGCACATTGAAGTCACCCAAGACCAACAGCCTTGGGGACCCCAACAGTGCCATGGAGACGAAGTCTGCCAGCTCTGGAAAGGAAATGGCTGGGTGGTGGGAAGCGCGGTAACCCAGCAAGATCCCTATACCATCCCTGGCCCCAATCGACACGTAGAGGGGCTCTAGACCTGGTGTCACCAGAGCAGAGTGCCTAGCAACCTGAAGGGTGTCTCTGTAGGCAATGGCTATTCCCCCGCCCCACCCCTCCAGTCTACCCTGATGTTGGACTGCATAAGCGGGAGGGCAGGCAAGAGTCAGGGGAACGCCCCCTTCCCTGTCCATCCATATTTTGGTTATGCATGCCAGATCTGCATCCTCCTCCAGAATCAGATCTTGTATAATCTGGGACTTATTTGATACAGATCTGGCATTACTACATGGTGTTTATTCTTTGTCTACAGTGTGGAAGGGATTGTCACTCTCAAATTGGCCTTCTCAGCCACACTAGACGCTGTTCCAAGTCCTCAATACAGAGCATGTTACCATAGTCTTTCGAGACTGAAGGATGCCTAGTTATTCTTTTCATCCTTTCCACAACCCATTTGCCATAATGACAGTTTAATTCACCCAATGGAATTTGGACTCTGAATTCCACTGACAGCACATTGAGCAAATCCAAAACCTTAAAACCAAACCTGAAATTCGGTTCACTTTGTGAGCATGCCAATCAATAAAGATGATTATTGATTATTATCATGACCCTTCTTAAGTTCATAGTCCGGCAATAATGGCCGAAATCCTACCAAGAAAAAACATACAGCAGTTTTGCCTCATATAAGAAATTCCAAAGCAACCCATTGCACGGTTAGTTTCAGTTTGTATGCGAAAAAGTTTAAAAACCAGCAAGTAATAAAGGGCTGGTATAGATACAATGAAAATTACTTAGTCAATTTCTTGCAGTGACGTTTTGTGAAAGAAATCTTCTACAGTACCTGTCTTAAAGAAAGCCAGGATTTTGCAGCACACTCTCGACATGTGTGCATAAAAAAATAAAGAACCAGTTAACTTAAAGCATCATTTTTTGTACTTACTGAAACTTTAGGAAACTAAAGCGGGTTTTTTTTATAGCTTAGATTTCTCTGCTTAAATCAATAACAGAACAGTAATGTATTCTCGAAGACTTTCACGGCCAGAACACAGGCAGAGTTCTAACTCCTGTCCTCTGAAGATGCCGGCCACAGAGACTGGTGAAACATTAGGAAGAAAAAACCTCCAGAACACAGCCAAACAGCTTGAAAAACTTACAACAGCCAACAGAATAGCAGTTAGTTGTTATATACACTTCTCTGTGTACTTCCAAAATACTGTATTTCAGTACTTGAAGTAGTATTTTCCATGGGTGGTAATATCTCTTTAAGCATACAGTTGTTGTTGTTGTTGTTTAGTCGTTTAGTTGTGTCTGACTCTTTGTGACCCCATGGACCAGAGCACGCCAGGCCCTCCTATCTTCCACAGCCTCCCAGAGTTGGGTCAAATTCATGTGGGTAGCTTCGATTACACTGTCCAGCCATCTTGTCCTCTGTCATCCCCTTCTCCTCTTGCCTTCACACTTTCCCAACATCAGGGTCTTTTCCAGGGAGTGTTCTCTTCTCATGAGATGGCCAAAGTATTGGAGCCTCAGCCTCAGGATCTGTCCTTCCAGTGAGCACTCAGGGTTGATTTCCTTCAGAATGGATAGGTTTGTTCTTCTTGCAGTCCAGGGGACTCTCAAGAGCCTCAATTCAAAAGCATCAATTCTTTGGCGGTCAGCTTTCTTTATGGTCCAGCTCTCGCTTCCATGCATCGCTACTGGAAAAATCCATTGGCTTCGTTTCTGATTGATTGCTAAATAGGTAATAGTGATCAGTATCACATTCCATTGTTCTGCCAGCACACTAGGAGGGACATTACCAGCAGACTGCTGCTAATTAAAAAGTTCTTTGAATTTTGTGTGACAGTTTTTCCTTCTTGACTTTTTGTTCCTTGGGTGACCAAGCGTGTGACTATTTCCCTAAGCCAAAGAAGGAGAGAAGCATGATGACTGGATGGAAACAAGGTATACTCACTTGAATGATTACCTGTGTAATGCTGTGCAAAAAGCAATAGGATTCTAGCCAATAGAGTTTAGGTAACCAGATATTGGGGGGTCAAAAGCAATGAATGATTAAGAACATAAGAAGTTATCTTGTACTGAGTCAGACCTAGATTACAGATCCATCTAGTTTTCTGTTACCATTCTACATCAGCAATGGGTCTCCAGGAATTCAGTCTTACCCAGCCCTGCCTGAGACCTTGTGCATGCAAAGCATGTTTGATTGCCACCAATATTTGGCACTGGACTTAATGGCGGGCTGTTTGCCATCATGTTCTGGTAGTTGACTTCCACTCCTCTTGTTGATCGTTTACTTTATCACACTACCAATCCTGGTTAAATGCCTTTTGCAGCTTTTGTATAAAAAATAAGATTGAATGGGGAAAAAACCCTGTCAACAAAGAAGAAGAATTACAAATATACATACCATCTTCTTTATACGACTTAGTACTAATGGAAGAGTAGAATTCTCCAGCTTCTGAGTGGCTGTTTCTGGGTTCTGGAATTCCCTGCCAAGAGAGGGGATGGTAGTTCATGTTTGATATACTCTGCCAGAAGGCTAGACTTTTGGACATTTGAGCTGACTGCTCAGTTTGTTGATTATGTTTTATCAGAGGAGTGCTGTTTTTCTCTTAATTTTGTTGATGTGTTAACAGTTCTGCGTTTATGTTTTGATGTTAGTCACCCTTCAGTACTATGTGTGGTGGAGAGATGGGGATATAAATTTAATTAAATATATATAATAATAATTGGCTAAATCTGATTGTTAGTCCAAAACAACAATGATTGTTAATATATTCATTTAATTATAGGGAATTTCATAAACGTTGAAAACACATCCCATTCATTCCATAAGATTATTTAGATGTAGCAGTGGTAGCAACAGTAATAGCTGCTTTCCTCTTCTGTTCAAGTAAGCAGCATGTACTGTTTTAGAATTTACAATCTGTGGAAGAGAGCAGCTTCTGGATTATTTTATCTTTTAATAATATTTTCTTTTTCTCTTGGCTCAGCTGTATACTTTTTCTGGGATCATTTTTACATTGCTTGAATAATTATCTGGAATACTTAGTACACAGCTTTTGTGGTCCAAGAGAAGGGCAATCTGCAAATGCTTTCATAGCCATAGAACTGGTGTGTGTTGTTGGCATGAATTGTTATTCTATTTTTCATTCACGTTCACTGGCTTTTTGTTAACAAAAGCCAAATTCAACAGATGTTCGGGCAACTCGGAGCTCAGAATTTAGATCTGGTAATTTGAGATCTCAAGATTCCTGTTTTCCTCCTTACCACACTGGATGCCTCACACAAAAATGAAAGGTGTTCACACTGATTTAGCTGAAACACTGCTGATGTGCTGTTATCACAATTCAAGCACTGTTCATTATGTTGATTGTTTTTCACACAGTGAAATCATTTCAAATAGAGCAACTTTTTTTTTCAAAAGTAGATAATATACTGTTCTGTGTCTTGTTCTTGGCTAGAGGTGAAGAGTCTTAGCTGCTTTCAGCGTCATTCTTCAGGATTCTCACAATGTTGGATCAGCCTAAATCAATGAGAACAAGAAATCTAATGAGAATTCTTTCCATCTTTTTCCATACCTTGACTAGAACAACTCACATTTCATAGATACGTATGTGCCTTTAAAATCAGTAGGAATTAAATATCAATGTTGCAATGAAGGCTGAAAGGAGTATGTGTGGATATATCAAGTGTTTTTATTCTACCCTTATGAATGGGTACAGATTGGGGATCAGTTGGGTGAGGAATTTTGTGTAGGAAGGAAATGCTGATGCTAGTTTTATGCATATCTCCGTTTATAAGGGGTTACTGTTGTAGAGGAAGGGCCTGATCAGTTATGTACTTGACCACATGTAGTTAAAAATATTATTTAGAATACAAACTTCCTTGTCTAAAGACTAGTTTTTACACCAAGTCAAACACCACGAGAGGCACTTCTCCTGCCTTCACCCTCTAAATACACTCCAACACTACTCAGTCCTGGAAATTATACAGAGCATGTGTCTTAATGTTGACTTTGACTCCTTGCCTGGTAGCAAATATGATGTCTTTCTAAGGAAGTACTCTAAGAAGACTCTCAAGAAGGACCCAAACTCCCCTGTCTAGCTTTTGTTTTAGAAAGAAAGGAAAGAAAGGAAAGGAAAGGAAAGAAAGAAAGAAAGAAAGAAAGAAAGAAAGAAAGAAAGAAAGAAAGAAAGTTAAAAGAGGAAGGGAATATCATCTGTTCTTCATCATTAAATCCTTCTTTTTCGGGTGGAGAGTAAATGTGTTGTAATATAAGAAAGATATTTTCCCAAGCTTGGGAATTTTAATACTTTTGACTACAATTCCCAGAATTCCCCTGCCAGCTTTTATGCTGGTTGGAGGATTCTGGTATCTATAGTCCAAAAATGTAACATTTTAGTTCTTTACTTTATCAGGCGGTTGAATGACTGATTTTTTTTTCCTAATGAGAAAAATCAAAATGTCAGAGGATGCATCTACACTACACAGTTATAGCACTTTGATTCCAGTTTTACAGCTATGGTGCCATCCAATGGAATGCTGGGAATTGCAATTGAGCAAGCTTAGTGCTCCTCATGAATGACAGCAGGAAAATTTAAGTACACCCACAAACTATTTTTCCCAGCATTCTGTAGGACTGAACCATAGCAGCTGATATGGAATAGTGCAATATTTTCCGTCTTTTGTCTTTTTCATTGTTTTTGGCTTCCATCTGTTTTAGTTACATGCGAGCTTCTGAACAGATCTAGGAGTTTAACAAATTCATAATAAAGAACTGGAGAAAGAAAAGTTAGAAGGAAAATCGCCTAGACAGCAGACTTAGTGAACAGCATTCAGTAGATTTTTCTGGTTGCAGTTTAATACCATGGGTTGCACTGCTGACTGTGGACTTTTATTGTGTGTGGCTTTTTTTAAAGGTCTGGACCTTTAAGTTTAGTTAAGAATTTTAGCTGAATTAGCAAATACTTTTCAATATGAATGAGTTTAAATTAATAGAGATTAAGATAGTTGAACAAAGTTAAGATAAGGATCAAGTTTTAAAGGAGAACTGCAAGAGCCAAGCAAAAGACATTGAAATTAAATTTCAGATCCAGTTGATCAGCAATCTTGTCAGATACACCTAAAAACTGGCAGGAGTCTAAGAGGTAGTTCTCATGGTGGGAGGTGAGGAGAACATGCCATACAGCCATGTCATGCTTTGAGTGCGAGTAGATTGAACATGCAAGAGCTGTGTGTCCACACCTACATATCTGGCCGCATGGCTCATTGGCTTGTGCAGGAGATTCTGTTTCTGCAACACCGCCTCAATCTCCTTCCCATTTTCCAACACATTCTATGCTGTCCAGGATCCAATTACCAATTTGTCAGATTTTTATTGATGAAGATCTATTACTTACCTTTGTAATTTGCTCCCCATGAGTGCTGAAGCACTACTCTGGGCAATTTACAATAACAAACAAAACTAGATAACACTAAAACTATTTAAAACCAGTATAGCAACTAACCAATAAAACCAGGTGGCGCTAAAGCAATAGAACAGAAAGGTGGAGGACAAAAGTTGGTCAGCTAGGGTCAGTGTGGAAAGCCTCCCTGAAAAGCCACGTATTCAGTTGCCTCCTGAATGTCCACAGGGAGGGGGCCAGGCGAAGCTCCTCTGGAAGCTGGTTCCACAAGGTTGGGGCCACCATGAAGAAGGCCCTGCTTCTAGTAGATGACTTACAGGTCTCTCTCAGAGTGGCCAGCTGAAGGAGCCTCACCTGTGATGATCTGATGGGTCTGGCAGATGACATTGGGGAAAGACATTCTGACAAGTGGGCCCAAACTATGGAGAGCTTTGTATGTGAATGTCAACACATTTAACCGTTTCCATCTGAACATTCAGAAGAAGAAGGAGAAAAATTAAAAAAAAAGAAGAAGGCAACCTAGAGGTCGATAAATTTGTTAGCATTAAGACAGCCTCTGCAGAAACTTGTAATAACAACACCAAGGGTGAGTTGTACATTCTGCAGATCCATAGTCACAATATTACCTAATTCTCTTTGATGTGTGAGTTGCTTAGTTGTTTTTTTTGTTTTGTTTTGTTTTGTTTTTTTGCTTTATTTAATTTCCATGACACCGCTGAAATGGAATCAAACTGCTATAACTGTGTAGTGTATATAATACTTTAAGGAAAGATGTCTTTAAGATAGTGGTGGAATGTAAAAAATGATTCAGCTGTCAAGATGCAAAGACAGTTTGATTAAATCCAGAGGAGTACCAATTAACATCTGGGCTGCACTGTCTTCCAAGGAGGTCATCATCTACATGGTCTCTGTGTATGTGGATTTCCCGGTCTCTTTCATATACTCAGCAAACATTTCTCTGTGATTACACTGTTCTTTAATTGAGAGCCAGTATGTTGTAGTGCAGCAGTTCCCAACCTTGGGTAACTCAAGTTTTCTTAGACTGCAACTCCCAGGAACCCCAACCAGCACAGCTGGTGGTGAAGGCTTCTGAGAATTGGAGTCCAAAATATCTGGGTTACTCAAGGTTGAGAAACATTGGTGTAGTGGATAGACTGACGGACTATGGCTCAGGAGACCCAGATTCAAATCCCACTTTGGCTTTGGAAACTTACTAAGAGGTGATGACAGCAAACTGTGCCTGTTGTTGTTGTTGTTGTTGTTGTTAATGTTGTTGTTTAGTTGTGTCCCCATGGACCAGAGCACGCCAGGCCCTCCTGTCTTCCACTGCCTCCCAGCATTTGGTCAAATTTACGTTGGTAGCTTCGATGCTGCTGTCCCTCCATCTTGTCCTCTGTTGTCCCCTTCTCCTCTTGACGTCACACTTTCCCAACATCAGGATCTTTTCCAGGGAATCTCCTCTTCTCATGAGATGGGCCAAAGTATTGGAGCCTCAGCTTCAGGATCTGTCCTTCCAGTGAGCACTCAGGGTTGATTTCCTTCAGAATTGATAGGTTTGATCTCCTTGCAGTCATGGGGACACTCAAGAGCCTCCTTCAGCACCACAATTAAAAAGCATCAATTCTTTGGTGGTCAGTCTTCTTTATGGTCCAGCTCTCACTTCCATACATAGCTACTGGAAAAATCATAGCTTTGACTATACAGACCTTTGTTGGCAAGGTGATGTCTCTGCTTTTTTAGATGCTGTCAAGGTTTGTCATCACTTTCCTCCCAAGAAGCAGGCATCTCTTAATTTCATGGCTGCTGTCACCATCTGTGGTGATCATGGAGCCCAAGAAGGTAAAATCTGTCACTGCCTCCATCTCTTCCCCTTCTGTTTGCCAGGAGGTGATGGGGCCAGTGGCCATGATGTTAGGGTTTTTTTAGGTTGACCTTTAGATCTTTTTTGCGCTCTCCTCTTTCACCCTCATTAAGAGGTTCTTTAATTCCACCTCACTTTCTGCCATCAGAGTTGATATTTCTTTCAGCAACCTTAATTCCAGCTTTGGATTCATTCAGTCCATCTTATATACCTAGAAGCCACAAATGAAAGGTTCAGAACCACTGTTTTAGATTTATTTATTTATTTATTTATTTATTTATTTATTTATTTATTTATTTATTTATACCCCGCCTATCGAGTCCAACGACCACTCTAGGTGGCTGAGTATTTATGGGAGTCTAAAGTCATTTACAGCTTTAACTTGCTTTAATAACTGATGTGCCTGAACCTGTCCTTTAGAACTAAGGATTAAGGAAAATAATAAGTTAGCAGAATGGTGGTGGGTAGCAGTGCAACTCCTATCCCTTAAATCAGTGGTCCCCAACCTTGGGCCTCCAGATGTTCTTGGACTACAAGTCCCAGAAGCCTACATCACCACCGCTGCTGGCCAGGATTTCTAGGAGTTGAAGTCCAAGAACATCTGGAGGCCCAAGGTTGGGGACCACTGCTTTAAATCACAATAGGTTTTGTGAACTCATGACCCTCTTTTCTTGGGACAGAAGATGCAGGAGCCATCTTTGTTTCTGGTCTACATCGGAAGATTGTGAAAAGAGATGGCACTTTGAGCACATCCTCAAAACTAAGATAAACTATTTTTGAAGTAATAAAAATATTAAAATGTATTCCAGTTTAAAAAAAATCTAAAGAGTTCTATTAATAAAAGCTTTTCTGAGTTTCTTCTTCACCTCCTGGGCATCAAGGTAACTATCCCCTCTTATTATAGCACATATGTCAGCCACTACAAGAAGCTGGGAATTTCTCCCTTTCCCTCTTGTTCTCCAAAAATCACATACAGAAGTTTTTCTATTATAATAATAATTTATTGTCATTGTAAGTATATACACATACAATGAAATTCACAGACACCCAGAGACCAGACACATGCACACACATAAAATTCCCCAAACACTCCCCACCCACTAAAAGTCCCCCACTAAAAACACAAACATCTACACCGCAGACCAAGTAACACAGTCCAACTAATTATTCACTACTGGTGGTCTTTAAGCTCATTATTAATTGCAACTGTATCTTCTGCCAGATGGTAACAGTTCAAAAAAGTTATAAGCAGGATGGGAAGAGTCTCTCAGGATGCTGTGTGATTTCCTTAGACAGCGGGATGTGAAGATGTCATCCAGGGTTGGTAGCTGGAGCCCGATGATATTCTGGGCAATTTTAATGTTTCTCTGTAGAGCTTTTTTGTCCGCTACAGAGCTACTCCCAAACCATGCCAGAATGCCATAGGTTAGGACACTCTCAATGATACCACTCTGATAGCAGACAGAAGTAAATGCTGAGATAAATTTAACTTGCCGAGCATTCTCAGGAAATACAGCCTCTTCTGTGCCTTCTTCATTAGCATGTTGGCATTTATAGTCCATGAGAGGTCCTCTGAGATGTAAGTACCCAGAAATTTAAAACTACCAACTCTCTCCACTTTCTCACCGTTTATGTACAGTGGTAAATGTACATTTCTCTTCCTCCTAAAATCAATTATGAGTTCTTTAGTTTTTTTGATGTTAAGTGTGAGATGATTTTCTTTACACCAAACTATCAACCTTTGTACTTCCTTTCTATAAGCAGACTCATTGTTCTTATTTATGAGCCCCACCACTGTCGTATCATCCGCAAATTTAATAATTGCATTGGTGTTATACAGTGGGGTGCAATCATGTGTGTACAGGGAATAGAGGAAGGGACTTAGCACACAGCCCTGGGGACCTCCTACTATTCTATCCTGCTTTTCTTCCAGGATGAAAACAGAGAGAGGCTTTACCAAGTGTACCTAGGAGATACCTCATCCACACACTAATCACACACTGAATTAGTTTAAGAAGCAGCCCTTTTTAGAATGTTCTTTCATGAGATACCTGTAGCCTTCACCCAGTGGCCTTTCCTGATGACAGGTTTTAAAAGTGTTCCTTTCCCCCATGAAGCTTCCATCTTTCCCCTGCTGTTTTGGCAACCTGTTTCCTCCCCTGCCCCCCATCTAATTATGTGGCTGATAACAGCCACACTGGTTGCTTGCCTCTCTCACATTCTGAATGAGAAGTCAACGCCTATGCAGGTAATGGAGGTTTGTTAACAAGTCTGTTCTCCACTATCCCAATGTGTTTTGAACTCAGATCTGTATGGGCCAGATCTGTATGTGCAGGAGAATGAATTGCATATTTGCACGTACAATCAAGAGATGTTACTAGGATAGAGTGGACTGGGGTACTGCCTTAGGTTGCTAAAATTTAGAGGATGCAGACAGTTGCTATTGGAATGACACAACCCCACCCACTAGCATTGGCCAGTCAGAGAGTTGGAATCTACCAGCCCCAAACACATATGCTGCCTCTTCCTGCTCCTTCTCAGGTAGAAGGACACAAAAAAATAACAGGTTCAGCTTGAAACCCATATAGCCATTGCATGCTCAACCCCATGCATTCTTCCCCCATCCTTCTGTACTCTTTCTGTACATGCTAATCTCACATGACCCAAGCTTTACCAATAGGGCAGTACATTCCCATGTACCAAAATGGTTGATTATGGTTCTTGGCTACATTATTTTATAAGTAAAGGTAAAGGCAAAGGTTCACCTTGGCAATTAAGACCAGTTGTGTCGAACTCTAGGGGCCGGTGCTCATCCTTGTTTGTATGCCAAAGAGCCAGCGTTTGTCCATAGACACTTTCCATGGTCACGTGGACAGCATGACTAGACACGGAATGTTGTTACCTTCCCACTAAGGTGGTGCCTATTCATCTACTTGATTTTGCATGCATTCAGACTACTAGGTTGGCAGGAGCTGGGACAAGCGACGGGATCTCAGCCCATAGCGCAGATTCGAATTGCCGACCTTTCCAGCGACAGCCCAGTGGCTCAGCAATTTGACCCACAGTGCCACCTGCATCTCCATGCATTATTGGAACTCATGCATTAATTGGATCTCAGCCCATAGCGCAGATTCGAATTGCCAACCTTTCCATCGACAGCCCAATGGCTCAGCCATTTAACCCACAGTGCCACCTGCATCCCCATGCATTATTGGAACTCATGCATTAATTAATTCAAACAATTTCTATCCTGCCTGTCAGTTCAGCTTTTTCCCTGGCATCTGACTATGTAAAATAAAGTTTATGCAATCTATCAGTCCCATAGCGCAGATTCGAATTGCCAACCTTTCCATCGACAGCCCAATGGCTCAGCCATTTAACCCACAGTGCCACCTGCATCCCCATGCATTATTGGAACTCATGCATTAATTAATTCAAACAATTTCTATCCTGCCTGTCAGTTCAGCTTTTTCCCTGGCATCTGACTATGTAAAATAAAGTTTATGCAATCTATCAGTATTCATCACAAAGTCTTTGTGTGTGTGTGTAGGAGGGGAAGGCTGGATAGAAGTTTTAATAAATAAACATATGAAGAATAGATATTTTCATGTAGGAATACTGGTTGTAGTTCCTGTGGCTTGGAATCCAAAATTATGTTTTTAGTAAGGCGGTGGTAGGTGGATTGCTGACTTCTCAGTTATTTTGCCATTGTAAAATTTGATGGAACTGAATTAGCCAAGTCACGCTATATTTGCAATATGTTTCCTAATTGTATTTGGTACCCAAGTTACTAACAATATGGTAGTGGTTATAATTTGACATGGCTGAGAGTAAAAATAAAAAATACATTACATTCCCACAGCAACTATAAGTCGGTTACATTGCTCTGTGTTTAGCTGCCTACTCATTTCTGTGCCCTGCTGTTTTGCCATATATTGTATTTAACGCTCACACAGAGAGATGAAAGGGAAATCAGTAAAACTGGAACCTAATGGCCACCAGAGGGCAGAATATAATGGACACAGTGTAAATATAGCAGCTGGGCCGTACTTGTGTGTGTGTGTTTTTTTTAATAGCAGGCATGCAAAAGTCGATTGTATTGAAGGTGCACAACTCACAACATTGCAATCTCTTACATTAAATGTGCCAGCCCCAAAGATTCTTTTTCTAATACTCATGCAGCTGTTTACATAATCATTGGAACAATGAGCCAGAGGTTCTCAAAAAAATGCTTTGGATGATTTTGAGGGGTGGGGAGGACAGGTTGCAAAATCCCAGAAATTTTATGTGATGGGAGAATTATTTCAATTTGAAGCAAGGGCTTACCTTGAAAAAATGAAGGCTCAGGCTTTTTCTTCCTGTAATTCTTTAAAACACAATTTGTGGTCTCGTTGGTAATTCCTGTGACAGCCATGCCCTCTCCTGGATGTAGCCAACACAAAAAATATACTGCAATGATAACAGGGTGAGGTTCATTAAATGATAAGTCTAGAATTTTATTAGTGTTTCATAAGGGTTGTGTAAGTTTCCATGACTAATTGAGGAGGTGCCTGTGTGTTTGTGTGTGTGTGTGTGTGTGTGTGTGTGTGTGTGTGTGCGTTCGCGTTCATTCGTCGTTCGTTCGTTCGTTCGTTCGTTCGTTCGTTCAACTTCTATACCTCCTGTCTGGCTACATTGCCACTCTGGGAGGTTTACAATAAAAAAAGCAAGACACAAAAATATAAAACATCATCAGGCAAATGAAATTTTTTAAAAAAAATTACAACAATCTGCAACAGATATAGAACTCAATTATGCAAAATTAGACAGAAAACCAAAAATCAGCATCAATGTTACTACACCATAAATAAAATAAGCATATACATAAAATAGTTTAAGAGACAAGATGGCGTAAGAGAAATAAACACTGAAAAGTGCAACACATTATTCAGACGTAAATTCCAGAAAAGCCTGCCTAAAAAGCCATTATTTTCAAGCATTGTTTTAAAATTCCCTGTGAAGCGGCCGAGCAGATTTCAGGTAGGATGAGGGGCAACGTCCGAGAAGGCCCGGTTTCTAGTCTTCTCTCTCTGGGTCAATGTTCTCAGCCATTTAGCCTGGGAAGATTGAGTAGGATGGGCAGATCTTGTTGGCAGAAGGTGTTCTGTCAGGTATCGAGGTCCCAAACTGTTTAGGGCCTTGTATGTCAAAGTTATCACCTTGAAGCTGGCACGGAAATGGACACGTAGCCAGTGCAAGGCAGCCAGTGTAGAAGAGATACATTGGTATTTCTTCATCCCACTCAGCAATCTGGACACCATGTTCTGGACCTGCTGGATTTGCCCTCACAGCCTCATGGGAGACCCACTTAAAAAGCATTACAATAGTCTAATTGCGAGACTACCAGGGCATGAACCAGCATAGTGAGGCCCCCTGTGTCAAGGTTAGGACGCAGCTGGGTGATCCACCTCAGATGGAAAAAGGACACCCACCAACACTACCTGTGATCCCATCGTCTGCCCAGACTGCAAATCTCATCCTTGACAGAAAGAGTAGCCCCACCAAACAATAGGGAGGTCCCCAAGCCTCAGACACTATGGGCGCCCATTTGCAGGATCTCTGTCTTGTCCAGGTTCAGCCTCAATCTATTTTTCCTCATCCATCCCAGCATGGCATCCAGACAGCGCTCAAGGGATGGGACAGTATCCGCTGCAGAAGGGTGGAAGAAAGATAGATCTGGGTGTCATCCACATATTGGTGACATGAAACTCCAAAACTCCCAATGACCTCCCCCAGGGACCTCATGCAGATATTAAACAGCAATGGGGAGATGATTGGCCTCTGAAGGACTCTACAATTAAGATTCCAAGAGGTGGACGTCATCTCCCTAAGCTGCACTTTCTGAGGATGGTCCTCTAGGAAGGAACAGAGCCAGGACAACACCAGGCCACCAGTCCCCAACCCAGAGAGCCTCCCCAGGAGGATACCATGGTCGATGGTATCAAAGGCCACTGAGAGATCAAGGAGGACCAACATTTTGCCTCTGTCAGTCTCCCTGAAAAGGTCGTCTTGCAGGACAACCAATGCCGTTTCTGTGCCATGACGCGGCCTGATTGGAACAGACTGAGGGCAGCGGTCACCTCCAGGAGTGCCTGCAGCTGATCAGCCACTACCCTCTCCACTAACTTGCTTAGGAATGGAACATTAGTGATGGGTCTTATAGTTGTTAATATCATCCACAACAAGATTTGTTGTGGATGATATTAGATAGGCCTAATTAGTGTCTCCTTGAGGGCACAGGGAATCTTACCCTCCCAGAAAGAGCCATTAGTGATTATCATGGCCCGATCCATCATTACGGGCCTGGCTGCTTTTATGAGCCAGGCTGGGCAAGGAACTAGGGGATCTAGGGAGGTTGCAGTAGCCTTATAGCAGTCAAGCACCCTGTCACCCTCATCTGACGTCACAGGCTGAAATTGCATTAATATCACCAGACAAGGTGGTGCAGTGGATGCCTCAGCTCGATCTACTGAGGAGAAGTGGTGGTCAAGGTCCCAGTGGATGGTCTCCACTTTGTATTTGAAAAAGGTATATCTTGGTTGTGTACTGGGGCCATGACCACACAGCTGACCAAAATGTTGTCTATTAGCTGCAGTTAGCCTTGGGAGGTTGTGTTATTCTTATGGGAACATCTTTAGGATTCTGTCACATTTACGTTAATTTTCTTCTTTCAAAACATGATAACTCAGCCCAGTTGAGTTGGGGGGACCTCTCGCTCATTCTGTTGAGTGGAGGCTCTTAAAGTCTGTCTCAGAATCTTGCTATGGTGGGATCACTGATGCTGCCCTGTGACCCAGCATCCTTCAGCTGTCTCCCGCTAATTCCTCTAAGGATAGGAAAATGGAGATGTGTTTATGAGTGGGACGGGGGCAAAGTCAGAGGGGAAAAGCTGAAGGCCAGCAGGATCTAACCATACTGACACAAAAAGGTATGATGCTGTTTGTCTCCCTTCTCTGTTGTAGTTAGGTTGCAACAAACAAAATTGAAGTGGTTGTTGTGGGTTTTTCGGACTCTTTGGCCGTGTTCTGTAGGTTGTTCTTCCTAACGTTTTGCCAGTCTCTGTGGCTGGCATCTTCAGAGGACAGCACTCTGAACTGAAGTGCATCATATAAATGACTAGGGCAACTTAAACATTCAGTAATTAATTAAAGTGGCTTAGACATTATAGACAAAATAATATACACAGGAGTTGTAATAATTTGTATTTTTGAGTCTCTAGACCTTTCCTTGTAGAAGTTATTCTGAATATTATAAAAGAACAAGTGTCTGTACACTTAGGAAGAAAAATCTTCAGAACACTGCCAAATAGCCCGAAAAACATACAACAAACAACTGTCTGTACACTCTTATAGTGGATCATAACTTGACATTAAACTGTAGCCCAAAGCAATGCAGATCTATCTAAAATCCATTAGTCACACGTTTCTTAAATTATGACACTTCATAAGATCTCAGATGTCTGCCAGAGGCATTCTTTGAGTAAGGCATGGAATCAGAACAAGACAATGAATAAGAGAAGCGCATCGTTTGGTTTCCAAAATTAGTACCTTATTTATATAAGGGCAAACGAACATAGCGGTTGGCCCTTGAGCACAGAATACACACCCATGTCTTCTGTGACCATTAAATCGTCTTTTTAAAAGTTTCTTTTAACCAAAAGAGAGAGAGAAATCACAGTTCATAGGCTGTAGAGTGCTCAAGGATTAGACAGCATTTAGAGCAGTATGGTGTGAATCAGTTGCACATTTAGTGCACGAACAGTATATACATTATTTATCATGCTTTAAGCTGTTCTTAGTGAAGTTTTGTTTGATGGTATTGGGCTTGTTGTGGAGATCAGGTTATTACATGTGTCACTTCTGAATATGTTGCAATGTCATGGAGGAATATAATTTCAAGACAGAAAGGAGTATCCAGAAATATGCTGTCTAGATGGCTGATGGGAGATCAGCTCCTAAAGACCCTGGAACAGTCTGAACGCTGAAGGTAACAGCTAGTGGTGTAGCGGAGCCAGAGCTTACAGGGACCAAAACCCCAGGATTTTTTTTTACTAGCACAGACAATGACACCATCCTCCTCTCACCCTGGCTTCCCAGATCCTTCTGAGCTTAGGACAGAGATTTGGCTAGGAACAATTACACCGTTGCAAGCATCCATTTTGTAATGTTTTAATGTATTTCAGGGTGGTTTGATCTTGAATTTGCAAAGAAGAGCCATTAACTATACAAAACGCCAGGGTCCTCAGTTGTTGCTATGCACCAATCTAACCACTTGTCTGTTTTGACCCACTTTAAGGGAAGAGGTGGCTATGGAGCATGTCATAACGAGCACATACACTTCCTATTGCATTGCTGGTAATAACTCCCCATCCACTCTCCTACCCTGGTTTGCTAACCAAGAAGGGAAGAAGGAATGTGTTTAAATCTGTAGCAATTGGACATCTTGGCAAACAGAAGGTGGAACAGCAGGACCAGAGCCGAATGTTGGTGTCTTAAGGCACCTACTAGTGTCTCTTATCAGTCGGGGACTCACTACTAACCTCCCATCTATATCACATCTCCTGCATCTTTTCTCTTGGTGGTGTGTCACAGTAAAAGGAGCAAAGAGGAATGCAACAACTTCCATGTGTCTTATCCACTGAGAGAGAGTGATAGTAGTGTCTCCCTCTCAAACAGTTGAATGGTCTTCTGCAGCAGTGGCAAGAAGGAGGAGGAGTCAGTGAGAAAGAGATCCTAGCACATTATTTTGAAAATGGTGATGCGATTCATTCCATGTTACCTCTGTTTTTGGCTTCAGCACATGTTCGCTGGCTTCTGCCGAGAGTTATTGCACAGCATTTGTAGAGGGCCCTGGACTGGAGAAGGCTGTGATGAAGGGGAAACTATGATGATGATCCTATTCATAAACAAAACAGAACCCTCCAACAGTATTGTCACTATATGGCCAGAACAGTGCATCTATACTACACATTTATATCAGTTTAACTTTATTTTCCACTGTCTTCACTGAACAAAATCCCGGGAGTTGTAGTTTAGTGGCATATGTAGAATTCTCTGGCAGAGAGCTCTAGTTTATTCACGAAGCTACAGCATTAGAGCTCCCCCAGCAGAGAGGTCAGACCCCAAATCCCAGGAATCTGTGGGATGGAACCATGACAGTTAAAGTGGTATCGCATTCTTACAATTGTACCATGTAGATACACATGTCACTGAAGAGCCTGAAGCTGAGGCTCCAATGCTTTGGCCATCTCATGAGAAGAGAAGACTCCTTGGAAAAGACCCTGACGTTGGGAAAGTGTGAAGGCAAGAGGAGAAGGGGACGACAGAGGATGAGATGGTTGGACAGTGTCATCGAAGCAACCAACATGAATTTGACACAACTCCAGGAGGCAGTGGAAGACAAGAGGGTCT